TGTGCGAGGGGGCGTCATCATTAAAGTACCTGACACACGCGAACAGAAGCGACGCGTGGCAGGAAAGCAGATGAGACAGGAAGGATATGGGACAGACTACTTTATGCCTGACAATTAATGGGAACTTATTTGAAAAGATAAGCGGGAAACTTGCCAGCTGGTCGATATCTAACGACGAGCCATCCTGGAGGTCGATAAATACCAATTCACTCTTAGATCGAGTTACTCGTTCTCGACCAGAGTGGGGGGGACTAGATAATATGGGATATTATATACACAAGGCTAAACCGGTATGCTTGGCCGGTCGAGAAGGTTAAACCAAGAGGGAGCCGAGCCAAAAGGCCGGAAGATCGAACATTTAGGGAATCGACCAGGCAGGTGGTCGACCAGTCCATCACACGACCAGACAAACGATCGAGCAACCCATCGCTCGACCAATACATGATCGGGCAACCTATTCGACCTCAACAGGTCGATCGCTTCGAGGAACCAACAGTCGACCTAGTCATGGGCGCGTGTATCACGGGCGCGCGTAAGAGCCTTTAACTGAATCCCAGGAGAATATTTACCCCATGTGCAGGGGGGACACGTGTCGACAATGTATTGGGTGATAGCGATAACCACCTCTGACAGCTCCCAACGTCCCGCGCCACCTCTGACATGTACGCGGCGTGTCAGAGTACGGACGGGCAGCTTGGGCAGCCAGCTCATCCCTATACGGGCAGCTATTAGGGCAGGTATCTCACCCCTATATAAGGGGGTGAGCCTTTCTCCCTTAAGACATTCTATTTTCCATACTTCACTTCAGTATACTCATACACATACTGACTTAAGCATCGGATGCTCTTCACCGGACACAACCCCCAGTGTGAGAGTTATTTGCAGGTTTCCGGCGTTCTACCGGCAAGGACAAATATCGATCCATTCCAAACCGGACCAGGACGCTTACGCTTGCATTAAACCCTAAGCTATTCATTTCAAATACAATCTTTTTTTCACAACGATAGATACTATATCAAAAGAGAAAACATACAGAGGTTACAATGTGCCTGCTAGATGCAGAATACAAGAAACACCACATCCGGTGTTTTGATACAATCACAAAATGAACAATCAACTAACTGTTCTTGGCATAGGCTGAGGCTATAAAGTCCAAGATAGCTAATTGAATGAGCTTGCTAATTCAAGAGAATCAGCTAACCAAAAAGGGTGAATTAACCACTGAGCAGAAGACCTAGCAAATCCACCCTAACTACAAGAGAAAAGCTGAGAAATCAAACTGAAAGAAAACTACCAAAGGCAATAAAACACAAGACTAGCTACCTACACAACTGCACAAAAGCCTGCTACATGTCAAAGGACTCAAGAGTCTCTGAACTCCAACCAAGCTGAAGCTGCTGCTTGCACTATAGTGAAATCTGGTAGCCAGTGGTTTTGGAAGACCCATAGATTCTTGGCTTTCCAGAGCCACCAAAGTGTATAGATGGTGAGCTGGATTCTTTGTTCTGCCATGGCATTAAGTTTGAGGGAGCAGAGTTTAGTTCTGCCATGGATTCTTTGTTCTGCCATGGCATTTCAAATACAATCAACCCTTTCTTCTATTAAACCCCATCGTCTACCCAAAGTTCACCTTTTTTTCGATCAAAACCTATTATTCATTCACAAAGTCGGCCGCTTTATCATCCAAAATTGCTCCTTTTTCATCACCGGCCTCCAAAATCGCTCTTTTTTCATCACTAGTGGTCGGATATATGACATTACCCCCGCCATTTTGAGATCCTTCGCCACAAGAATCGAGATCTGAAATGCAACGACAGAGAAAGCTCATATTTCCACGTTTGGAGCTGAGGAGGGGAATCATCCCAGAGAACCAACGCTTGAGGTAATTCTTTCCCATTTGACAACACCATTCGTTTATCAGTAATAACATTTGGTACTACCCTAATAGAACCATTTTTATCTGTGTTAGGTAATTGGTTGTAAGCCTGGTTGTGTGAATGCAGTCGGCGTTTGAGGATAGAATAATAAAAGACCGGGTGGATCTTGGAGTCTGGAGGCAGGGCTAAGCGATAAGATACTGGTTCAATTTGTCTAAGAAAGTATAACAACCCTCAGAAGGTTAGTCGTAGATATCATTATCACTGGGGGAATAGAAAGCCCAACTATCGGGATGATCGATTTTGTTGAGATCTAGCCAGCCAACCCATCGAGAAGTGGAACGAGAAGTCATGTATCGACGGCGGGGAAGAAGGGAGACCGATTGCAGGACGAGTTTTCACTATCGAAGAATATGAAGGAATGGTCGAGGAGGGTAGTGGAACAGTCGAAGCAACGGGGTTAGGATGAAAGACCTCGTGGTCCTCCTCTTCCACTACGTCGATGGCATCGTATAGCTTAAAAGGTCAGTGAGAACGGAGAGGGTTTTCAGAAGTAGGATGATCCTGGTGTTTCGACAAGAATTGTTGGTCGAATAATAGAGATTGGACTAGGTTTGAAGAATTCTTCAACAAAGGTATTTGGGAGAGTAAGAGAGAGATTGAGTGTTCGAGGAGGACGGAGAATACATGTCCTTTCAAGAAAAACAATCGTTTTCACTCGAGGTGATAAAATCTGATAAAAAGACGGAAGATTTTTTGTTGGCGAGTGATATATATGAGTAATAGGAAGACGAAAACCAGATAATTCAAATCAAAAACACAAATTGAAATTGAAAGGTGAAAAACGACTTACTCATTGTCGAAGATTGCAGGTAGTTTGGTCGGAGAGGGCATAGAGAAAAAGATCATCAGGAGATGGTTGCAAAACGCTCGAGCGTTAGGGCACAAATATATATGAAAGTCTTGAAGGTGGAAAACCAAAAAAATGTCGGGGACAAGGGCCTTTATAACGAATGCATAAGGGGAGCTAAAAGGTTCGAAAAGCCAACCGTTGGATTAAATACAAAACTAACGGCTATGATGAGTGCCTCATTTATTGGGTGCGAAACAAGAGATGGCACGGATCACATGAAAGTGGCGTCAACGGGCAATGATGGCAACCTGATAGCTGAAAGGACGGATATGACAAGTGGCAGGTTTGAATTCGAAATTCAAAGTGGCGGTTCAAAGAGACAAAGGTCGAATAGTAGAAGGAGCATGTGAACGGTAGATGATTAGCAGCGGTGCAACATCTAAACGGATGGACGGAAATTTACTCTTAGATACAGTCATTCAGACTCGACCAGAGTTGGGGGAGGGGGGGAGTGGAGGGAGGACCAGACGAGGGAAAAATTCAAAACTAGTCCCACAGGTATAGGGGGTGACATTTTTTGTTCCAACGGAATACAAAAAATATAAATAGTCCCACAACTTTTAAAAAACGATCAAAAGTAGGACTTTTTGCCAGATTTTACTGTTTTCGGCCCAGAATGCCACGTGGCGCACACGTGGCATATATTTTTTACACGTTGGCATCCGACGTGGATATGAAAAAATCAAAACTAGTCCCACAGGTATAGGGAGGTGACATTTTTGGTCCCACAGGTATAGGAAGGTGACATTTTTGATCCCACAAGTATACATAAAATATGCAACAAAATATGCCACGTGTGCGCCACGTGGCATTCCGGGCTAGAAACAGTAAAATCCGGCAAAAAGTCCTACTTTTGATCATTTTTTAAAAGTTGTGGGACTATTTATTTTTTTTCCATTCCGTTGGGACAAAAATTGTCACACCCCTATACATGTGGGACTAGTTTTAAATTTTTCCCACTAGATGATATGGGATACTATACCTAAGGGAGCAAACCGGTTGAACAAAACCGAGCAAAATCACCTGGTCGTGGTCGAATATGATAGGAACAAGAGCCTCTAGACTAAAAGACAGTCTAACAGGGATTTCTGTACGCGGAGAGTAGGTCGAGCAAGAGCTCGTGGATAGCCTGATCGAAACTCGACCTACAGTAGCAAGTCAACCTACAACTGATCGAGCCTTCGAGAAGATCTTAGGGGAAACAAAACCCCATGTGATGAGAACACGTGGCAAGGCCTGATTGGCCTATACCTTATAACTGTTTCTGACACACCTTCAGTGTGTATTGTACGATCGGGCAGCTCGGGCAGTTTGGGCAGCTGACTCAACACATCTAGGTAACTTCTAGAACAAGCACCTCACCCTTTATATAGGGGTGAGACTTGCGATTTTAACCATTACGTCATTATATTCTTTGAAAGTTCATCTTCTACACATACGTATTTAAGCAACGGAGGCTCTTCACCGCAGACCTCCTCCGGCGTGGAAGTTTTTGTAGGTGCGAGACGTTCTACTGACGAGGAGAAGCACGAGCGAGCCGCTTCTAGCCGGTCAGAGTGTTCTGCATTACCAACATCTAGGAACGTAAATATAAGTAAAATATGTACTATATAGTACAATATGCTATAACAATTATAAAGTATATATGGTAATTAATAAATAAATAGAATTAATTAATCATAAATAAAATAATTGAAAAAAAAAATATATATATATATATATATTTTTTAATTTGTTTTGATTGCTTAATAAGAAAATCTTGGGAGGATGCCAAATTAAATAATATTTCAACACCAACATTTTGAAATAGACAAGGGCAAAGCTGATGAACTACGTATGGGTGGTTGGAGTAGGTTTTAATTTCAAGTCAGAAACTTGATTCTTAGGTAAATATCATGAATATAAGAGGTGGGTACGTAAAATTAGTGAATAACTTATACACAATGTGACACGAAATCTATAATAAACTGAGGGATGGTACACAGGTTTTGTGGAAGGGTCCCTCTCATCAATTTCCAAACCAATCCATATTGGATGGGCAAAAAGTCTTTTTTATAGCTCAACAGGCATTGACACCTGAACAGAGAGACGAACAGAACACAGTACACTGTTCAAGTTTCTTTACATATAATCCCATTTTATTTTTCGCCCTCTTGCAAGACACGACACTCCTCCAAATTTAGGAAAAATCAGAGAGATCAGAGAAAGAGATGGTGGACCATTTTGCAAGATTGCCGGAAGGCTGCGTGTCGGAGATTTTGTCGCTAACGTCGGCTTCGGATGCGTTAAGATCATCGACAACATCCAAAGCATTCAAATCTGCATCCGAATCAAACTATGTTTGGGAGAGATTTTTGCCCCTCAGTTGGCGGGAAATGGTGTCCATGTCAGCAACTCCTGTCGAGTATGCTACCATCAGAGACCTTTATTTCACCCTCTGTCGCAATCCTATTCTCATTAATGGAGCCAAAATGGTACGTGACTTCTTGTTTTCATCTATCATATATATTCATTCATTAATATAATTATTATTATATATCCATCTTTAAATTATTTAATTAGCTAGTATGCGCCAGGCTTTGCTTTGATTTCATTCTGCTGAAAAACTTCATTTCATATATTTGCTGATCAATCCTTTTAGCTTCAAAAGTTGTGCATGCTAAATAATAATAATAATATTAGCGGCATTTTCTTATTTATGTTATATGATAGCCTAATCAGCAATTAGGTTAGGCGGTACATTATTTTCATTGATATGTATATCATCACCCAAATATATAATTCTCGAATGCGCGGAGCCTACGTGGTTTTTCTGGTGTTTCGGAATCCTACTTGGCGAAGAATCATGCTTCGTAATTAGATTTGAACAAATAATATTGATGTATTAATAATTAATAATCTAGGTTCAGACATTCCATAAATATTATTTAGCTAACTTAGGCATTTTAATATCATTTGTACTAATATAACCATTTAATTCTTTATAATTTTACTTAATACGCATTAAGTGACTAATATATCCATAACTTTTGATTTTCTTCCTTTAATTCTTTTCGGATTATCCATAAATATGTTGATTATTTAGGGTCATGTTACATGTATTTATTGTATTTTAATATCATTTACTATTATAACAATATTGATTTGTAAATGTATTTTAAAAGTTAATAATTTTTTGTATTTTTTATTAATTTTACATATATAATATATCAAATTATTCATCTTTTGATGTGCTTTAACATCCATATTGTATGTATAACATCAATTATATTAATCTTTATAACATTAATAAAATTATTTATAATATTAATTAAAAAAATAAAATTATTTATCAATTAATATATTTATATTTCAAGTAGTTATATAACATAAGTTATAAAAATTACTTTAATATAACGCACGTAAGTTGCATAAGTAACAAATGTCATTTTAAACTATATAATAATATATATTTTTCGTAAAAAAAATAAATAAAATTTTAAATAATTTTTCTTATCAATTTTAAAATTTCAGAATATTTTTTTAACAAGCCGTGTAATACACGGGTGTTGTACTAGTTTCATATATATATTTTAAAAAATTATATTATTAAGAGAGTGACATTTTATAATATCAATATATGTCTTTTGTAATTACAGGGTGGACACGTCAATGGTTGGTCATTTTCTTTTCTTTCCTTAAAGAATTCATTTGTAAACATTGTATACTCAATACTGTGGATTAGTGGAAATAATTGACTCCAGAGAGAATTATAAGATACAAGACAATATTAAAGAAATATAGTGACATACGTTTCTTTAATCTTTCCACGCAAACAATTTCATTGAAATTTGTAATCGTGGTAGATCAATTATCTCAGACAATTACATGATAAAATAACAGTTACAAACCTCAATATATAAAATGGTTTTGTAATGGGACAATAACATTTCCGTTATTTTCAAATGTCGTTTCTCGATCACTTTCTAGTAATATGTTGTTTATTATCAATTGTCGCCAAGAGACGTGATTATTCTAGAATGGTTGATTAATGTCTCTATAAACAATCATTCTTGCGTTATTTAAAGAGAATAAAGTATGCTCAAGGTTGAGTATGATCTTGTCTTACAGTTTCTTCCTCGTCAGATTAAATAAATAATATGCAAATTAATCTAGAAAACGAAAAAAAACTCCTTACATTATTCATGTATAGGTCACAACTCTGAATCTTGGTCTTATTTGGTTATAAAGGTTACTTATGTTATAAACTTATAATTAATGAACTAAATATCATAAAATTGATTATACTAATTATATTTGTGCATCGTACTAAGTGAGGATGCCCATGTAGGCTGAAAATTTTAAAATAATTAAAAACTTGAATAAAGTATTTTGTAAAAGTTTTGATTTTTTTTTTGCTTGTTAATTTTGCTTTCATATTTTATATATCAAATTTATTATTTTTGATGATTTTTTATTTGATATCTATGAAACACTGTATAAGCAAAAAAAAAAGTATATATTTATCTCTATAAATAAAATTAAGTTTATTTATCAATTCTAATTGGAAAATAATAACATTGTTAGCAATGATATGAAAACTTAGTCATCAATTCTAACTCGTGGATATTGTTGATATGTAATATTATATTGTATAACGTGAATTAAAAAAATATTAATAAAAAAAACCTACATGATTTGACAAAAATATTTTGTTTTGATATTCATAATGTATTTATAAAGAAATAAATAAATAACTATCTTTTTATAACCAAAAAAAAATATATATACTTTTGTTTGATGAATAATCTCATTTAACACAAAATGTGATGTAGAGCGTACGTATGAATGGTAAGAACAAGAACATATGTTCAGAGAAATCTCCATTTTCAATAATAATCAGTCTGCCCTCTCAAAGAGAAGACGATATTCTTATACATCAGATATCTTACCCTAATTAAAAGTCCATAAAAATAAAGCCCAACACTACTAAAAATAAAAAGAGCCCAATAATAAATAAGAGATATGAAAAATAGAACACGCTAAATACGAAGACGATCATATTTATTTAAAAATGCTATCACTGTCTCGTCTCCATCATCCTACCCCGGTTGAGAAGGATTCGGCCGCGAATCCGAACCGGTCTCGTCTCCGTCCGAATTATCCCCCGCGAAAGGGACCAAATGCTTGACGTTAAAAACGTCAGAAGTGCGAACATGAGACGGTGGACGAAGACGGTAGGCATTTGGGTTTATCTTCTCCAAATTCTCCACCGGGCCGATTTTACGTGCAGCCAGCTTATTAAATTCATGAGCCGGAAATCTGTCCTTCGTAAGAACATCCCAAACAAAATCACCTACCTCAAATTCCACATGGCGACAACGGGAATCAGCGGCCTTTTTGTAACCCGCAGTCGTCGACCCCAAACGAGCCTGGGCTGCGTCGTGGGTCTTCAGCAGGTCCGACACCAGCTCCTCCGATCGCCGGTCTGCTCCGCCGGGAGGTGGCAGCGCCGCCAGAGCACACGTCCCCCGAGGCTGGATGGGGTACACTATCTGAAAAGGCGAGAAGCCCGTGGCCCGACTGGTGGTTGAGTTATGATCAAACTCGGCTTGACACAAACGTTGGTCCAACCTCCTTATATTGTCCCCCACCAAACAATGGAGCAAATTGCCAAGAAGCGATTGACCACATCCGTCTGAGAGTGATTAGCACTGCAGAAGTCGAGTCGGGTGTCAACCATACGCCATAAACTGAAGAAGTAACTCAAGAATCGAGTATCGCGGTCGGAAACAATCGCCGAAGGCAGGCCATGAAGGCGGCAAACCTCCCTAAAAAATAATTGTGCCACGTGAACAGCATCGGTGGTGCGCTTGCATGGAATGAAGTGCACCATCTTGGAAAAACGAACAACCACCACGAAAATAGAGTCAAATCCTCGCTGAGTACGAGGCAATCCCAATACAAAGTCCATGTTGATTGAGTGACAAGGCTGAGACGGCACTGGGAGTGGTCGGTACAAGCCCGCGTTAGTCGCTACCCCCTTCGAGACCTGGCAAATGCGACACCGCGCCACAAACCAACCCACATCACGCCGCAAGGACGGCAAAAAATAACTGCGACTAACGACTCGACGACCTATCACGGACGTGACCGGTCCTGTGAAAATCGGCAATAAGCTTCTGCCTAAGACTGCAGTCCGGAACACAAAAACGAACCCCACGAAAAAGAAATCCATCCACCAAAGTCATCGTAGGGACGTCTCGTAAGCGACCCAAAATGGGGCCAAAAAATGGGTCCTCCAAATACACATCCCGCAGCACCTCAAAACCCACCACCGACACACGCATCTCAGACAAAAGAAGAGAACGCCTACTCAAAGCATCAGCCACCCTATTAGAGGCACCCGAACGATGGCGAAGGACGAAGGTGAACTGTTGCAGAAAAGCAACCCAAGAAGCATGTCGCGTGGAAATGTTGTCCTGAGAGGCTAGATGCCTGAGTGCCTCATTGTCAGTGTACAACACGAACTCCCTGTGAAACAGATAATGTCGACAATGGCGAACCGCACGAACCACAGCATAAAATACAACATCATAAGTGTTGTACCTCAATCGCGGGACCGAGAGCTTCTCACTGAAGAAAGAGATCGGACGGCCATCTTGGCTAAGGACAGCCCCTATCCCCACCATCGAGGCGTCTCAAGATAATTCGAAAGTACGGGAAAAATCCGATAACACCAGCACCGGGGCCGACGTGAGTTTGCTCTTGATAAGAGCGAAGGCATCTGCTGCTGCTTCGGTCCAAGTGAAAGACTTCCCCGTGAGACAGTCAGTGATCGGGCCATCAATGAACTAAAATGGGAGATGAACCGCCGATAAAATGAGGCTAGCTCGTGAAAGCTGCGAGCCTCAGTGAATATAGTCGGGGTCGGCCAATCCCGAACTGCTGCCACCTTGCTCTCATCAACACGAATACCCTCGGCCGAAATAAGAAAGCCCAAGAATAAGACGAACTCCACCATGAAAAAACACTTATGCGGCGCCACAAAGAAAGACTCTGTCCTCAAGATGAGTACAACCGCTCGCACATGCTCCAAATGGTCCTCCACCAAACAACTATAGATAAGCATATCGTCGAAATAAACGACGACACACTTCCCGATAAGATCCCGCAAGGTCTGGTTCATGATACGCATAAAAGTGCTCGGCGTGTTGGAAAGACCAAACGGCATCACCATCCACTCAAAAAGCCCCTCTCTGATCTTAAAGGTCGTCTTCCATTCATCGCCCCGTCGAATCTGAATTTGATGGTAACCCCTACGGAGATCCAACTTGGTGAAAATTGTGGCCTCGTGTAATTGATCTAGCAAGTCATCTAAGCGAGGAATGGGGAAACGATACCGCACTGTGATGTTGTTGATAGTCTGACTTTCCACACACATACGCCATGCCCCGTCCTTCTTCAGAATCAACAAGGCCGGAATGGCACACGGGCTAAGGCTCCGACGAACAACGCCCCGCTGTAAGAGTTCCTCCACCTGACGGCAAAGCTCCTCGTGTTCCACCGGGCTCATTCTATAATGCGTCCTGTTAGGAAGAGAGACCCTCGGGACCAAGTCGATATGATGTTGAATGTCCCGCAACGGAGGCAAGCCAGAAGGAAGATCCGTAGGAAAAACATCGGCAATCACTGATAACAGTGACTGCATGATGGTTGGTGGCTCGCGCTCAACCGACCTGTCTAAACCCACAAGTAAAAGGATAAATGAGGCCGACTGCATCTCCTCGACAAAAGCCACCCTCGATAGGAAGAGAATCGGCGAAGAACTAGCAGCCTGTACAGGGCGAGAAGGAGCAGGATGTGGACAATCTTAGTACCTCCAAATATGAAACTGTAAGTATTAAGCCTGCCGTCATGAGCAACTGCCCGATCATACTGCCATGGCCTGCCCAATAGCACGTGACACGCGTCCATATGAACCACGTCGCACCATACCTTATCCCGATAGTTCGCCTCAATGGACAAGGAAAGTAGGACCCGGCGGTCAACCGTAATAGCGTTGCCCCGCTGGATCCAAGCTAATGTGTAGGGCTATGGATGAGTCTCGCTCGATAGCCATAATTTTTCAACGGCCTCTTGTGCAACCACGTTCTCGCATGAGCCCGAGTTGATGATAAAGCGACACACCTTGTCACCTATAGTGCATGTCGACTCGAAAATATGGTGTCGCTCCTTCGTCTCATCACCAGTCGATCGTGGTGTCAAACACGAACGACGTATCACAAGGGTCGTCCCAACATCCCCCATATGATGCTCCTCGTGCAATCTCGGGTCCACATCATAGACTGGCGGTCCATAATAATCTGTGTTCTCTTCGACCTCGCCACCATCCTCAATGAACAAACCACTAGATCCCGAGCCTCGGGGACACGCCGCTTGACTATGACCCACTCACCGCACCAAAACACCTCATTCCCGTACCCACACGCTAACCTGCAACAGCCGGTGGACCACCCGCGCCAACCACCCGCGTTTGGCCGCCGTTAGACCCCGGGAAACGGGCCGACGATTGTTGTGAACTAATCCCGAGTCCCGCCGTTGGAGCCACACGACCGGACTGTATCACTCCACCACTCACCGGACCTGCCCGTGTAGCAGGAGAAAAATTCGGGCCAGCCTTCCGGGCCAACTGTTTTTCAACAAGCCAACCCCGCTGGTAAGCATCTGACACTGACTCTGCTCGAAAAAGGTTGAGCATGTCTTGTATGGCTACACGCAATCCTCCCACATATCGAGCAATCAATTGGTTAATTGTTTCCCGCAGCCAGTGTTCTAAAAGTCGCTAGGCGTCCGCTAGGCGCTCAACCAGCGCCTAGCGCCTAGAGCGCCTAGGCGGGGCCTAGTCGGGGCCTAGAAATCAATATTAAATACCTTATTTTTTATTTATTTAACTACTAACAAAATAAAAGTATCTCAACTTATAATAAATCGACACACCTAAGTCCAAACAATAATATTAATATATTTTAAAGAAAACATGAGAACAAAATAATGTAATTAGTATTTAAAAAAAA